AATATAGCTAAGAGCTTAACCGTTTGCACTACGTAGGAACTCCTAGCCTCCCATACATGTCAGAATGATTAGTGTCATTGGTGGTGGTGGTGTTTCTAAGTGCCGTCGAGTCCGTTCTGACTCATAGTGACTCTGTATCAATCAGGTTTCTGAGGCTTTTAAAATCTTTGCAGGAGCAGAAAACTTCATCTTTCTCCCACAGAGCAGCTGGCAGGCTCGAACCGCATACCTTGTAGTTTGCAGTCCAGTGCCTATCATTGCTGCATAAAAGTAGTTTAATAGTAATCATTTGCTATTAATAGTGTTTCACTTTAAGTTTTAGCCCTATTTATCCCTTATCCTGTATTTTCCTTTCACATGTAGAAGAAAATGGTGGTCTATAAGACCCCATACAATCTAGCCCCTGGCCAATTTTACTGTCTGTATTTTTTACTGCTGTGTTCTGCAAAGCACTGGCCTGAACTTCATCAGACTTGTTCCTACTTCCAAACCTGAATCAGGATGTTGTCCTTCATTCTGATTCTCTTAAGGCTAGCTCTGTTATGTCAGTTCAGATATCAGCTGCTCAGAAGGCCATTTCTTGAACCCTCCACAGTTGCCACTTCCCCCCAGCACAGTCATTTGCTAACCCTTTACTCTGTTTCTTGCCCTGGCTGTATTTTCATTGTTGCTGTCAAGTCAACTCCAACTCATGGTGGATGTTGCCTTGTCCGTGGCCACTTTGATGATCAATGGTATGTTTGAATCCATTGGGTGTGTTCTATCAGTCTTCCTCATTGAAGATTTCCCGCATTTTCTCGGACTCTCTATCAGACATACTGCCTTTTTCTAGCAATTGATCTTTCCTGAAGGCATATCCAAAGCAAGAAAGTTGAAGTTTCACTATGTTGCCTCTAAGTTATATATTTCATCTAAGGCTGATCTATTGGTTCTTCTGGTAGACAGCGGCATATTCACTATGATTGGCTAACTCCATAGTTGAAACACAGCTTGAAGATCACTGATTTAGATTAAGCATTAGTGCTCATAAACCACTCAGGATACAGTTCTTCAATCAGGACAGCCTCTTTGCAGTTGGACCTGCAGGCAGACCTGTCTCTCTGACCTTTGGACCCTTGACACCTCAGGCCCTGGCCTGGCCCAGCTTCTGTCCTGCTCGATCAAGTGTTACAAGCTCTTTAGCTCCACCTGTAAGTCCCCAGAGGCATGCCATTCTTCCAGTAAGCCTCAGCTCAAAGGCACTCAGCTCTCAATCTCAAATGAGTACCTAGTCTGGCCAAGGGCTGGGAGGTACTGCACTCTCCAACAAGCCTCCTTCCAGCCCGAAGGTTCTCAGCTTTCTCCCTTTGCACTGCGAAGGCCACTGTACCATCTCTTCTTGGAAGAAATTAGGTCCCCCTTTCCACATCTAAGATAGTTCATTTTAAGCGTAGCAGGGTGGCAAAACCGACCAATCTCCTCATTAGAGTTCCATATACCTTATTTGCATTGTCCCATTCACACAGGGTTCCTTGAACCTTTTTGCATTATTAGCAAAAGGCCCAATCTGTTTGGTGAGCCACAAGCATCTAAACTGCATAGTTTCACCCAAGTATTATGTGGCAGTCACCAAGACTATGACTAGAAGGGCTATATTATGGAATTCACACACCACAATAAAAAAAAAAAAAGACGTAAAAATCACCTGAACTACCACCACCCAACATTACCACCATTATATAGTGACCTTCTTTCCAAAAATCTTTTTTTCAGATATGTATGAGGGGATTTTAAAACATTCGTGGAAAAAGGAATTTGGAGTTTTTCCACAATGTTGTTTTGTTTTAGCAAAATAATGCACAGCTGGCCAGTATAGGAGAGGAAGTCCTAGAAACCTTTTATCTTTGGGGAGAGCCTTATTGTTTCCTTTTGTGTGTGTGTGATTGAATGAATAAAGCAATCATAGTATAAGTAGAATTGGGAAAAGTTCACTCAAAAATCTGTGTCTATTTTATAATGGTATGCCAGGAAAACCAAGATTCAACATTATTTCTTAACATTATTTTCCCCCTTTTGACCCATTCCAACCACATCTCAATCCCTGTATCCCAGAGCCCTATTGTTCCAAGGTTGTGCATACATCATTATTTACGTCTGTCCCACTTAGCCCATGCAAACCTGCCTAATTGTTTTCCCATCTGCTTTGTTCTTCCATTCCCCTCCTCCTTCTTGTTTGTTCCTCATTCCCCCCTCCCTAGCACCCAAATAGACACTGTGTCTATTCCCTACCATGTACTCCACCTTTCCTTCCTCCCCTCACCACATACCTCACAACCCTTTAGTATGGGTTCTTTTTCTTAGTCTTTTACAGTAATGGCCCTATGCAGTATTTCTCCTTTTGTGACTGACTAATTTCACTCAGCATAATGTCCTCAAGGTTCATCCATGTTATGCAATGGCTTACAGTTTCCTTGTTACTCTTCAAGGTAGTATAATATTCCATTGTGTGTATGTACCATAGTTTATGTATCCATTCAGTTGATGGGCACTTAGGCTGTCTCCATCTTTTTGCTATTGTAAATAGTGCTGCTATGAACATTGGTGTGCATGTATCTACTCATATTATGGCTCATATTTCTTGTGGGTAAATATCAAGTAGAGGAATTGTTGGATCATAAGGTATTTCTATTTCCAACCTTCTTGTTTCCAATTTTTGAAGAAACATAAAAAAGCATCTTCCTCTGTTTTTGCTCTTGCTTCCATTTTCGTGGAGTGTTCATTATTTCTGAACTATTCAAAGTCTATCTGAGACACCAGTTCTTTCATGAGCCCTTTTGTAGTTCTCTTCCTGGAAACCAGGTGTACTTTGTTTCCTTCCATTGGTTCATTCAGTATGTCTTTATTATGTTACAAGCAGTGGAATATCAGTATCAATAGAGGAAGTAGAATTGTATTTTTCTCATGAAAAAAATGTTTGGTGATAAGAGTAGTTTTTGTTGCTGTTGTTAAGTACCATTGAGCCAACTGCAACACATAGTGACCCTGTATAGAAGTGACTGGTGAGTTTGAACCACCGATCTCTCAGTTTAAACCAACCTTGCATTCCAGTGCATCCTACAGTACCACATTAGGACTCCATAATAGTAGTTAGTACTAGGATTATGTCCTTTAAAAAAATTTAACTAAAGAACTGAGCTGAAAATAGAGTGACATTTACTTTGGTCTCATAAACACCTAACCATGATAGATTGGCCAAGTGGCAGCATCGATGGACTCAAGCGTGGGAACAGTAGTGAGGTTGGCCCAGGATCAGGCAGTGTTTCCTTCTGCTGTGCATAAGGTTGCTCTGGGTCCATACAGACTTGATGGCACCTAACAACAATGACAACATGCCTACTAAAAAGGTTCTATTCAGAGGAAAAAGGTTGGCAGCAGGAGGGAAGTAATCATTTTACATCTGGGTGTTCTCACACCATGCAAGATATGTGGCCTCCAACCAACAAGAGCAGTTTGCATAGTGCTTCTAGTTACTGATTTGCAACAGGCTGCAGATTACAGATTAGTTACTGCCCTAACACTGTGGCTCCTCCGCAAGCCTTTTACTTTTATGTTGTTGTTGTTATGTGCCGTGGAGTCAGTTCTGACTCATAGCCACCCTGTACAGGGTTTCCAAGGCTGTAAATTTTTATGGGAGTAAAAAGCCTCATGTTTCTTCCGTGGAACAGCTGGTAGTTTTGAACTGCTGACCTTGTGGTTTGCAGTCCAATTCTTAACCACTATGCTACCAGAGCTCCTTTTATGTTTATAGACACCTTCATATTCAGTTCCCCTTTGATCCTTTTGGATTCTCTTGTTTTTCCCTTTCCATGTTAGTCACAGAAGTAGAATTTTCTGTACTCTGAGCAAGGTTCAGGAATTCAAGAGACCTTTGATGGGTTAGGTTAGACCTTTGATTATACAGGAGTCAGAGTGATCTCTCAGGGAATCTGGAGTTTCCTCTTCACTTTGTGGCAGTCTTGGGATATGAGTGGCTCAGTAGTGTCTTGGTTTACGCTGTTGCAAACACCGTGGTTTTATTAATTTAATACTTTACTGTAATAGCAATATTTCTTATTGTACAAATATTGACTAATAGAAAAAGTATTAAAAAATTTAAATCACTAATAACCCCACCACCCTATTTTTTCTAAGACTCATTTCTTGACAATTACTGTCCATTGAATTTATTTGCCATATGGGTTGGCATTTCTCAACTAACTGTATAGCTGGAAGCATGGTGGCTTCACATGATAAGCACTGGACTGTGAACCACAAGGTCTGCAGTTCGAGCTGACCAGCCACCCCTCAGGAGGAAGATGGTGGCTTTCTACTCCCACGAAGATGTAAAACCTTAGAAACCCTTCACGGGGTCACTATGATTTGGAACCGACTCGACAGCAATTAACAACAACTGTGTAACTACTGTAATTAAATAGGGTTACTGTCTGTTGCTTGCCATTGTATATGGCAACGTGGAATGTCATTTCTCTTTGGCTATGATATATAGTCTCTGACCATCTTTCTACCTTCAGCTTGTAAACAATACATCCTTTGCTGGATTGATTACATGCAGCTGTTCTAATGTTTATAGAGCATGTAAAGCAGGAATTATATGAAAATTTATTTTTTCTCCCGAAGGGATAAATGAATTGCTATTATATATACATATGTGTATGTGTGTATGTTGTTGGTGTTAAGTGCTGTCAAGTCGACTCTGACCCATAGCGATCCTGTACAGGGTTTCCGAGGCTGTAAATCTTTACGGGAACAGAAAGCCTCATCTTTCTCCCGTAGAACAGCTGGTAGCTTCGAACTGCTGACCTTCAGTGAGATTAGCAGCCCGATTTGTAACCACTACGCTACATATATAACTATATGCATAAAAGAAAAAGCAGTTCATTTTGACAGGAATAAAAAGTTCAGTAAGTAGACATATAATTGCCTTCATGCTATTTGGGCTTTGTTTCCCTTTTGCTGTGCAGGAAGCCAAACCAGACCGTCTCCTAGTACTGAAGGTCCTATGGAATGATTTCTTGATATGCTACTCCTCTCGCCCTCTGCTTTGCTGGTCTGTGTGGTGGGCCCTCTCTACCTGTGGCTACTTTCAAGTCATGAACTACACACAGGGCCTGTGGGAGCAGGTGATGCCTTCTCGCCATGCTGCTATTTATAATGGTGGTGTGGAGGCCGTTTCAACCTTACTGGGTAAGCAGTGCAGCGGGGAAAGGGTGGTTTGGAGGGGCATGTCTCTGGTAGATAAGCCATGTGTAGTCAAATTTGTTCTCCTCTTTCAATTTTGAAGTGGTCCCAAAGGATGATTTACTAATTTTGAGTTCTGGTTTGATCATTTAGAAGGAAAATTTGAAGTGCTTAAGTGGTGATAAAGGGTAATATGACTAAAAAAACCTGAATTGTTTATAACCTTTGTTGTTGTTAACGTGCCATCAAGTTGGTTCCGACTTTTAGTGACCCTGTATAGGGTTTCCAAAGAGCTGCTGGTGGATTTGAACAGCCGACCTGTGGTTGACAGTCCAGAGCTTATCCTACAGCACCACACCAAAACTCTTTATAACCTTTGGGGAAACCTAAAATAATAGTTTTCAAATTTTTCTTTCCTCATCCAAGTTTCCATCCTCTCTGTATTCACCATGTGGTTTTGCCACTTGATGTGAAACTCTGAGTATCATTATATTAATAATAGTTTATAACAATACCTGTTTAGTGTGTTAATATGTTCTAGGTCCTATTATGAGGACTTTATGTATAAGGGCAATTCAAAAAATATTGTTACTAAGGTTCTAGCTCACATAAAAATCATTTATTCCAAACAAAATGTGTTCAAACATGTCTGAGATCAGTGCATGGCCACACATAAGTGTTCTCAGTAATACACTTAGTTTCATTGGGGGGGTGCCTTCACAAAACATCCAGTCAAAGTAGTGGAGGGGATCTGCTGGGCCAGTTAAATTCATGGAGAGAGGTCAGCTCAGAAAGTTAGAGTGACTATCTTGAATTACAAAGGGATCATCTTAATCAATTTCCTGTAAGGACACAGAATGACCACAGTGGCCTATTTTGAAAAAGTTTTCAGAAAACAGTATCAGTGAGAAAAAGGCCAGCAAAGTTGAGCTGAGGAATATTTTTGCATCATAATGATGCACCTACTCAATCTTCAAGGGTAGCAAGGGCTGTCATACTAGAATTTCCTTGGGAAACCCTACTCCATCCAACCTACATCCCTGACCTTGCCCCTTCAGGCTTCTTTTTGTTCCTAAACTCAAAGAAAATTTCAAAGGAACACAGTTGGAGTCCCTCAAGAATGCTAAAACAGCCTATACCTGGTATAAGTTGGAGGGCATAGAATTCTTCAGGGACGGGTTAGAGAGATGGAAACACCGCCTTCAGAAGTATACAGACCTAGATAGACAATGTGTTGAGAAACAGCTTTAGTAAACAATAAAAACCACATTTTTGTGTTTTTATGTAATAAAGGTGTCTGTGATTTTTGTAGCATTTCTTTTTGACCCTCATATACTAACTTAAGCCTCATAAAATCATAAAAAGATAGCACAGTTTTTACTCTCAATATCAAGTTAAGGGAAGCTGGGATATAGAAAGGTTAATAATTTGCCCAACACCATGATTATTATAAGTATTAAAGTCACGATTTGAATTCAGATATGTCAGCTCCAGAGCCTGTTCTTGGCCGTTATAATCTCTTTTCCCTTTCTAATTTGTTAATCTACATCATTAAGTGTTGAGAGACTTTACATGATTTTTAAAAACATGTATCATTGGCACTCAAAAAGGATATCAATACATTTTAGCTATTATTTTTATCACAATCATTTTACCAAAGGGCAGAGAAGCCCCTTTTCCATGTTTTAGACTGCTCCTTTAATCATTGGGCTGGTCACCAAAGTCAGAGGTTCAAACTCAGCCACCACTCTGTGGGAGAAAGATGAGGCTTGTCTGGTCCTATAAAGATTTCCAGCCTCGGAAACCCTAAGGAGCCAGTTCTGCTCTGTCCTAGAGTGGCTATATGAGTTAGGATTGACTAGATGACAGTGATTTGATTTTATTTTTTTTAGTTTGGGTTAAATGATAGATGATTCATTCTGCCATGTTGTCAAGCTAGAAGTATTGGACCTTTTGGACTCTTCCCTCTGCTTCAGCCCCAGTAGTTTTGGTTTGGTTTATTTTTCCCTTAGCAGTATCCCTGGGTCTATGGCCTTCTTTTCCATCTCACTGCCACCTACCTTAATTCAGGGTTTCATTGTCTCTCAGTGGCTCCATATTGTTTGTTTCATTGAGTCCAAAATTCTGTTTAGGTTTCTAAAGACTCTCTATGCTCTTGAGTTACCCTACTTATAAATTTATAGACTTTCCATTTAAGATTTTTTCATTTTAAATACTAGCTGATTTTTTAAAATTGAAGTATTATTTGCTATGGACTGAATTATGTTCCTCAAAAGTTTATGTTTTAAATTTTAATCTCTGTGCCTATGGTTATAAACCCATTTGGGAATGGGTTGTCTTTATTATGTTAATAAGGTAGAACTAGTATCAAGTGTATCTTGAGTCATTCTGAAATCTTGAAGTATAAATTGTTTAAACAAGCAAACAGATGGAGTAAGACAGATGCTAAGACACATGGAGATCTTCAAGGAACAAGGATGCAAAATCTGAAGAGACAAGGACTTGCCACCTGAACTGACATAGAGAGAAAGCCTTCCCCTAGAGCTGGTGTTCTGAAATTGGACTTGAAACCTCCTAGACTGAGAAAATAAATTACTGTTTGTTAAATCTATACACTTTTTGTACTTCTGTTATAGCATCACTAGATAACTAAGACAGCATTTATTTAGTAAAATAGCTCATTTAGTTTTCTCTTTTTGTTTTGTAGGTGCTGTTGCAGTGTTTGCAGTTGGCTATATAAAAATATCCTGGTCAACTTGGGGAGAAATGACACTGTCTCTGTTCTCGCTCCTGATTGCTGCCGCAGTGTATATCATGGACACTGTGGGTAACATTTGGGTCTGCTACGCATCCTATGTTGTCTTCAGAATCATCTACATGTTACTCATCACTATAGCAACGTATGTATTTTGGTTCAAAAAAGCATTAGGAATATTGTGGAAGGAAATTTTTGGTTTCTTGATAAACATTGTGTTGTATGTGTGTTATCAGTTTTTCCCTTGAGGAGGCATTTAGGCAAGACTCCCTCATCCCCTTGTGTGTGTGTTCCTACTGTTCTTAAATGTCTACATGAAATCTATATCATTTAGCAACAAAATGCTTTCCACTTAGTTGGGAAGGAAATTGACAATAGAAAATGCACTACTCTTCACATTTTAAGCAAAAATTGTAACTGTCCAGGTGTGTTAGTTCATTCTTCTTGTATTTTTTCTTCAAGTTTCCAGATTGCTGCAAACCTCAGCATGGAGCGCTATGCCCTAGTGTTTGGTGTGAATACCTTCATTGCCCTGGCTCTGCAGACCCTGCTAACTCTCATTGTGGTAGATGGCAGTGGTCTTGGCTTAGAAATTTCCACTCAGGTAAGATATGGTCTCCATCATAGCTCTCTAGTTTTGCCATAACACAAGTACCACAAGTAGATGGCTTTAACAAACAGAAATTTAGGAGACTAAAAGTCTGAATTCAGAAAGGAGAAAGGCTCTAGTCTTTTTCAGGAGACCCAGCATTACTTGAAGACCTCCATGTGTCTTGGCATCAGCCTGTCCCTAGATCTAGGAGCTTCACAGTACAGGGACCTCAGGTCCAAAAGATGTACTCCACTCTTAGTTCTTCTTTCTCAGTGTTAGTTGGTCTCATCTCTGTTTGCTCTGTTTGCTTATTTAATGCATCTCTCAAAAAGAGACTGACTCAGGATACATCCAAATCCTGTAGATTGTCTTCTGCCTCATTAACATCACAGATGTGAGGATTTATTACACAGGGGACAGCTACATCAGATCAGGGCTGATCGTATCAGACCACATCATGGGGCAGTGAGTACATCATTATGTAACTGCCACACCGTTGTGACTCATGGCCAAGACATGTTCACACACATTTTTAGAGGACAAAATCCAATCTACCACATTCTGTTTCAGCACTGACTTAACCAGAGTGACAGAAATGGAGAGTGCGTAATGAAAACAAGTTCAACAATATGGACAGATGTCAAGTCATTCTCTATCCATAGTTCTTTTCTTCTTAGAAGATGTTGGGGGCCATCATTTGTTTTTAGACCCTACAGCCATGCTGAGTGTAACTCCTTCCAATCCAAGTTTGTCTGTTCAACCATAATTCTTCTCCATGCTTAATTCTATGCCTAGAACATGGGGTACAATGGAGTTTGAGAATCCCTGCTTCATGTTAAAGCTCTTCTTTATTTAAAAACACCCCTCACCCAAATACCAAAGTAATGACTTCCTGTTGACAAATATTGTAATGATTCTTAACATATTACCGGTTGAACAATCAGCTGCTCAAACACTTAGGGACAATGTGGATACTTTTATTCATTAATTGTATGGTTGTCTATATGCATTGTGAATTTGTAAGTAGAGTCTGCTCTATACTTGGTTAAAGTGAGCATTTGAATCAAGAAGTCACGAAGTTCCCACTGCAGCCTAGTCCAGCCCAAATGGTTCCTTCCTCATTTTTCTCTCCATGTTGTTATTGTTAAGTTCCCTTGAGTTGATCTGGCCTCATAGTGACTCTATATAGGGCTCCCGAGGGGGTAAATCTTTATGGGAACAGAAAGCCTCATTTTTCTCTTACGGAGCAGCTAGTGGACTCGAACCACTGACTTTGTGGTTCACAGTCTAGTGCTTATCTTGCAGAGCCACTGCACTCCCATACACACTACCTAATATTCCACACTTACCTGTTAGTTTTCTTAGGATACAAAGACCCAACATATTGGCAGTACTTAACTGTGTGTATTAGGGAGATCCGAAAGAAACAATAATGCTCAATGTGGATTTTGTGTCTTCAGTGTGCCAGTTACTTTATATAGAATTTTGCAGGGTCATAGTTGGAATTAGAGATTAAGAAAATGGAGATGTTAAGTGATATATGTTAGGTCATGTATACCGTTTGTAATGGTGAGACAGAGCTAGGATTTAAACCACTGAGGCTTGGTGTGGTACTGTAGGATAAGCACTGGACCACAAGGTCAGTGGTTCAAACTCACCAGTCGCTCCTTGGAAACCCTATTCAGGGTCTCTGTGAATCAGAACCTACTCGATGATACTTAACAACAAAGCATGCTGCCTGTTAGTTCAGGAAGGGTCTCCAGGTTTACTTGAGGGAAACACACAGCTGACATATGAAGCTAATGTTTGCCAGTATGTTCTTGTAGAGATGGTGGGCTTAAACACTTGGAATCACAGGATTTTATGGGCCGTGCCCTAACTACCATAATTAATTGTTTTCCTATAGGAAACGGTAACCAAGTTTACTTGACTCAGAGGACTTAGGACCACAGTCTTTTTATAAGCTTTGATAAAGATGTTGATAAACATTAAAATACTGGCTTCAGAAAGTTTCTTTTCAAACCCACCAGCTGCTTCTTAGAAACCCTATATGGAGTCACTGTGAGTGAAACCAACGTGACAGCGCTTAACAACAATCAATGGAGTATGTGTGACTCTCTACTGCCCTCTTCTGGGGAAAGAATGGAGGTTCTTGCTCTTCAGAGCAGCCTCTAGTTCCCCTTATCAACTTGAGGGTTGAGACCATGACACACAACAATATAAACAGTAGTTAGCAACATTAGCATTAGTGTTTACATTTTGGTCCTACCTTTTTAATTATTTCAAAGTATTCTGGCCTCTGATTTGTAAATGAAGATATCAAGGTTCAGAGATTCAGCATCTTGGTGAAGCGAGATTCACACTCAGGTGGTCAGGCTTCAGGGCCATCGTAGTGCACTGCCCTTTATAGCTGCAGCACCAGGCACATAGTGTAAGCATGCTATGGTGTTTTGGAGTTAATTAAGAAATTCTGAATATGCCTTTAACTAGAAAGTTGACATGTATGTAAGAAAACAGTTCATTTTCTAACTGCTAATCTATGTGTTACTGTTGCCTCCTTCTTCCCCCCACTTAGTTCCTGATCTACGCCGGCTATTTTGCACTCATTGCTGTGGTTTTCCTGGTTAATGGTACAGTCAGTATTATGAAGAAATACAGAAAGCAGGAAGATCCAGAATCAAGTTCTCAAATAACCACTTCATAAGATACTGCGGAGAGCCGCCTTCTTACAGCAAGAACTCTGCACAGCAACTGTGCCTGGATGTATTTAATTTTAAGGTGTACACATATATTTATGAATGTGCATTTCATGGCTTCAAAGCAGCCACTTGACTAATAATACTTTGTGTTCTTGGACTAATCTAAAACTGTTCACATGAGCCAAAAGTGAAGTTTATTTAATGGGCTATTTATGAGAGCTAATTAAAGGATGACTTTTTCCTGATTTCAGAAGTTAACTTGATTTTGAAATGAATTGATCAAGAAGAATCAAGCAGCACATGGCTTGTATACTTGATTAGCAAGTAGGTTTGATGTTCTATAGGTCAAGTACTTCTGTATCCCCTTGGCCAGAGGCTTGGCCTGGTGGGACCAAGGCTTCACAGGACCCACAGGATGTTACAGGTCCAGATTAACTGTACGTGCCTCCACTCAACTTCATTTTTATTTGTGTTTACCCACGTGCATTTGTGTTTCTACAGATGAAAATTATTCCTATTCACTGGCAATATTTGCTCTGGTATAGTGTTCAATAAGGAGTATGTGTCATTTCTAATTTTAAGTTATTTTCTAAAATTCATTGTATGAATATTTCGGTTACTATTTTGACAATTACGTGCTTATGTAGATTTTCTTTAGAAGTACGTTTTTTGCATTGTTCATATGCTTCCTAGAGAAGCTCATGTAGTTAGAAAAGAAGGCAAGTTTTGAAGCCTGCAAGCAATCTAAATCAATAGACCCAATCCGAATATTTAAGTAGGTCTACTGTTTGTCTTTAAGGAGGACTGGTGGTGTAGCGGCTTATGAGTTGGGCTGCTAACTTCAAAGTCAGCAGTTTGGATCCACTAGCTGCTCCAACTCCTGTAAAGATTTACAGCCTTGGAAACTATACAGCAGGGATGGGGAACTTTTTCTCTGCCAAAATTATGAACTTAAAAATTAGCCTGCTATATATATTTGCTCAAACATTTAATTAACTCACTCATAATGTGATGGCTGGAATTGGTCACCAGACCACATGATTCCGTGGGTTTCACATGGCCTGCGGACCAGACATTCCCCACCCTTGCTATACAGGGTCACTATGAGTGGAAAACAACTTGACAGCATACAGTCACCCCCACCCCCAGTTTGTCTTTAATTCTTCACTACAAAAGACTATCAATTCCATGATGAAAAGTTAGTGTATGGGCTAAGGATAGAACTAGCCCAGTTTTCATTTGCATTCCCTTTATTTCCAAACTAAGATGAAAAAAAAAATTTTTGTTTTAAATAACTTCATCTCCATTTGTAGATTTTATGTTATTTTGTACTTCTTATGCAAGAGACGGATGTCCTTAAGGAATTGGATTAATTCCCAGGCCTTTTCCATAAACTGAGCCTTTTAAATTATACCAATGGGACAGAATCTCAGACTGAATTGTGTTCATAAATCTGCGTTTCTAAGGGTGGATAATCCTGAATATTTGCTTAAAATAAGGATTGCTAATATTCCATTGCCAAGTTACTTGAAGAAATGTTCTGTATGCATTTAAATTTAAATCAGTATACCAGGTGGCTGCAGTATATATGAGAGATGAAAACTATTTTAAATTTTTGAAAAAGCCAACTTTGTTGCCTTCTCTCGAAAAATCTCGAGGTAGGTGTTTTTAACCTGCTGTTTCGTATTTTTGTAATGACACAGCTAAACAGTGTTAATAATGATGTCAAGATTTTGAAATTAATGTTATTTGTTTTGTTGAAGTCGGAATCCAGGAAGCAAATGAATGGAGATAAATAGGTCATTTTCCATTCCAGATCGAGGAAAGGAGCACTGGCTAAGATGAAAGGGGAAGTGATGGCTTAAAATTAGCCACCGACATTATATTTTGTGCATTTTTCTTCTTGTTTTTTGTTTTTAACTTAGAAAACAGTGAAAAAGTGGTGTCTGTGGGATTTTATTTTAATAAAATGAACTGTGGTACAGTGAACTGCTCATATAACCAAAGCAATTCCCTGTAATTTCATTGGAGTTTGTGGGTCAAAACCAAAGCTTTGACTTAGTAGAGACAAGAATGAGTTCACATCTTGATGGGTGGTATTTGGAGAATGCTGAATCCAGTCAGCAAGTTGTACTGTATGCAGTTTTGCAAAGAAGTGAAAATAATTTGTTGTTGGTAACTTTTTACTCAATTCTGTACAGATTATAAAAGATGATTTTTATTAAATAAATATTTTCCATTATATTTCCTTTTTATTAAAAAGCTTATTTTAAGTGTATCATCTGTTTCAGCAGGAGCATTAATTACATCTTTTAATAATTATAAGTGAAAGCAATGGCAGAAAGTATCATCTGGTTTTGAAACTTTATAGGACTTTTCCTCTACCACAAAATACTCGGATACCCATCATTTGATAATCATTGTTCATTATATCACAGAAATTAAATCAGTCTTCTCTCACAGTATCCAAAACAAAACATTCACTTTCATATCCCATTCTTAGATCCATTTCATTAAATTATTTCATTCATTGTCACCAAAGACTGGAAAAATTTTCATGCAAAAAAAAAGACTTAAAACCGTAGAGTTTTCTCTGTCTACATTTATATCCTCTGTATCTTATTATTTTTTAGATTGTAAGCCTTCTGCGCAGGGATCGTGTCTTATTTTTGTCTTTTGTTGCAAAACCCATTCTGGTGCCAAATGAGTATTGAATAATAATTGATTATTTATGATGAACTCAGCATAGTTACTTCCAATGCTACATAGCTGAATGCACATTTTTTTTTTACAAAGTCATGTCAACAAAAACAGTAAGATTAAAGTGCCTGTTGATGATCTCTAGTCTTTGGATGCTTTTGTCAAGGCACTGTGCTTGAATGATAGAAATTGAGTGGCATCTGCTTGTTTTACTTTTTATGGCATCCTTCTCATAATTAATGCCTTACATTTGTTTTAAGTTTTTGAACTTTGGAAAAGATATATGTGACCAGTGTCTCCTTTAATTCTGGAAAATGACTTTCAGTACTTTCCTCTATTTTCAGAAAGTAATACTAACTTGTTAAGTGCCCTCAAGTCAGTTCTGACTCACAGTGACCCTCTACAGGATTTTCTGGTGAGCCAGAACCGCCGACCTTGCAATTCAAACTGACCTTGTAGTCCAGCGCATTAACCCACAGCACTGCACCAGAACTCCAGTACTGACTTGTTAAGTACTGTGGAGTCGGTTAGCAGCCCTATTCGTAACCACTCCACTCCTTACTGACTTAGAAGGGTGCCAATTGCCAGATCCGCTACTCAATTCGAGCTGTGATGCCTTTGGAAAGTTGCTCTATTAAGCCTATTTCTCATCTGT